TCATTGCTACACTCATTGCAAACCACTACTGAATTAGTGTATTATTATTAGTACTGTATTTGAAATTACTATTAATATTACAGTTAGTGTTCACTATCACCACAACTGTATCACTGAATCTCCACTCAATAATCGCCAATTCATTTGAGCCCTCATTTAAAGCACATTTGCACTGAAGTCGTGATCACTCGTGAGAAACTGTCAATCAATCTGATCCGTGGAAATGGCAGAGAATCGAGAAGATAATGTCTACAAAGCAAAGCTCGCCGAACAGGCCGAGAGATACGATGGTATGTATGGTGTGTGGTATGAGTGGCGATGTGGTGGTCATCGGCGGTGATGGTCACCATAAGCCATGCCATCACCCCTTTGACTACACGCCCACCACTACACCTGTCTTTCATACCAATCGCATGATCTGTCAAACGATACACTAATGGTTGTGTTGTCTTCGTGTTTGCAGAGATGGTTGAGGCCATGAAAAGAGTGGCCACAATAGACGCCGATCTGACTGTGGAGGAGAGGAACCTGTTGTCTGTGGCCTACAAGAACGTGATCGGCGCCCGACGGGCCTCGTGGAGGATCATCAGCTCCATCGAGCAGAAGGAGGAGCTCAAGGGGTCCGAGACTCGCATTGAGTTGATTAAGACGTACCGAATCCAAGTGGAGAAGGAGTTGAGAGACATTTGTCTCGATATACTCGACGTGTTGGACAAACACCTGATCCCAAGCGCTTCGACCGGTGAATCCAAAGTGTTTTACTACAAGATGTATGTATTATTTGGTGTCATTTGTTGTGTCACTGACTGACTGACTGGTGGTTTGTATGGCATGTGAAGGAAAGGCGATTATCACCGATACTTAGCTGAGTTCGCGTCGGGAAACGACCGCAAAGAGGCGGCGGAGAACTCGCTGGTGGCCTATAAGGCGGCCTCCGATATAGCGATGACAGAACTCCCGCCGACACATCCCATACGCCTGGGTCTGGCCCTCAACTTCTCAGTGTTTTACTACGAAATCCTGAACAGCCCGGAGAGGGCCTGTAGGTTAGCGAAGGCTGCCTTCGACGACGCGATCGCAGAACTCGACACTCTCTCCGAAGAGAGCTATAAAGACTCGACTCTTATAATGCAATTACTTAGAGATAACCTGACGTTATGGACATCCGATATGCAGCACAACGGTATGCATTACGACGACTCGATTTGATTGCATTAATGAATTAAACGATTGGTTTGATTGGGTTTGACAGGCGATGGCGAACAAAAGGAGTCTTCTGGCGGAGCGCCGACCGGTGAGGTTGAAGCCGAGTCCACAGATGTTTCATAAGTTTTAAGAAAAAAAAATTTTTAGTTTTTATGAGTCCGTCTGTCCCCTAAACTCTTCATCTGATTAAAACATTCATTAATATTAATATTACTTTTAAATTATTATTATTATAATTATATGAAAAGAAAAGTCGGTTTCGATATCTCTTTTTAAATAATAAATTTCGCTTCGATTTTGACATATATTTAGATGCAATACAATGTATAAGAAATCCAAAACATGTTATGATTATAACACTCCTTCTCATAAATCTTATTGTATGTTAACAAATGAAACCAAACTTTAGAGTCATTTGAATATTTAAATAATATTTTAGCCATTATTTGCTAAACGAAAGACAAATTTTATTCCATTTTGTGATAAATTCATTGAGAATTTGTTTTACTGTAAAGAAGTTTTTATTTCTTAATATTTAAACTATAAATCTTTAGCTATAAATATGTTGGAAAATACTTGATCTCAAGATTACTTTTAATACAAAATTATATAAAACTTTTTTCCCTCAAAATCTATTTTATGTCTAATTCTAGTCTAAACTGAAAACACTTTTATTACAGTTAATTAAAAAACTTTGAGACTAACAGTATATTCATACAAATTATTTTCTAATTCCTTTACTTTAATCTTATTTCTCAATTCTATTGCTAAGTATTTACTATTAAGTGTTTTATTTAAATTGTTTACTCGTTAGTACTCTATCTTCAAAAACAACTTAAATTTATTTTAGATGTGAGTATAAGTAGTGAATCTGGTATTTAATGTATTAATTACTAAATGACATGTAACTCAAAATTTCATTAATTTTTGGGAATAAAATTGGATATTAAATACTAATGAGACCAAAATCACTGTCATTTTTATTTACTAAATATTTCTACAAAAGTCGTTTCTACTCTACAATTTCTAGCAATTGGATTAAAGGTTAGTATATAAGCGAATGAAATGCTGTATCAATATAACAGTAAACACCAACTTTTAATGTTTTATAAACTATGATATAAAAGTTGCTCATCGGATATGAAATACTCGAATAACTGATCGTTTTTCTCAATTGAGATAACAAGTAAACGTATGCTACTAACTCATAAACCACTCATTTTTGCTATTTTAATTCAATTAAACTCACTCAAATGTCAATATGATTATAAAATGACCTGATTATAAAAACTATTTTTTGGTAAACAGAATAATACAGAATATACAGTATCATAATATTCTGTAATACTGAACCTACAAGTTAGCAAAGTACTTTAATATAGTAAATATTTAAATGCCAGTTTAGATTCTTATAATTAAATGACCATAATCATAATTAAAAATAGTTTTCTGTAATTTTGTGACAATTTGATTGTAATAATGCACTGTAGATAAGGATTAAGAAGTCATGGATTAAGTGAGTGATTGTCTGTCAATGGCTTTATTGCAGACAATATGTGACGTAATGTGCGATACGTTTGTAAACATTGAGTGAAAGTGAGTGTCAAATGAAATGTGATTTTAATTGAAATGTTTGTAACATTTGGATGAAAATGAGTGCAAATAGTAATACAAATAGTAATACAAATAGTAATACAAATCAATACAAATGTCATATCATTTGGCAACAGATCATCGCTATTGATGTCAAGTATAATGTCTTCAGGAATCCTAATATCAGTTAATATTTGCATTCATTTTACAAACTATTTCTTTCATTTGATCCCAATTTGATCGACAACTCAATTGTCTTGTCCTTTATCTCCAGAAATACTGTATATTAAGCGAAGGAATCAGATCTTAAGGGAGATATCTAAACGTGAATTGAATTCTTATCGCAAACAATATCTGAAACTTCGGTCACAACTGTTGAGTCAAAAATATGGCAATTCATGCGACCAGTCGTGAGTCATATTACCATTCATTTGTAAATCATTTATAATACCTTTTCATGACTTATTCGTGTCCTCAAAGATCCCGCAACCGATACGTCCGAAGCAATAGTAACAGTCGATTGGCTTCGGAAGACTCGATGGACTCGAGGTCTGGTCGTCAGCTGTGGTCAGCCATACAGTCCATACAATCGGATCCATTCTATGACCGACTCATACCTAACTTCGGTCTCGACCTGAGCCGTCATAATGTGGTGAATGCCTTCTCCGAGAACTACTCCTTCTCAGGGATGCACCACATCTTCGATCAGCACAAAGAGGCCGTCACTTCCATCCGCTTCGCCAACGACGACAAGTCTCTACTCTGTTGCTCATCCATGGACTCGACTCTATCCATATGCCAATTGACTCCATCGCCCGCAACCATACTCTATGTCTTAAGGGGTCATAAGGCGGGTGTCATAGACTTCGAGTGGTCGCTGTCTAATGACCTCATAGTGAGCTGTTCTCTGGACGGAAGCGTCAAGTTATGGGGCGCCGCCTCTGGTTATTGTCTGCGAACTATTGATGACCCGAACGGGTGTCCAGTGATGGCCTGTACTTTCCATCCCTATAACAACAATATGGTTGTGGCGGCCAATGCCAAGGGATGTCTCCAAGTGCTGAATGTGTCGACCGGTATCTACACGAAGAGGGGAACGTTTGACGGCGACGAACACAACTCTATTCTGTGTCTGTGTTTCGACACTACGGGACACACCCTATGGGTCGGCGACTCCAAGGGCTTCATCTCGTCGTTCATATTTGAGATGAGAAGCTGTCGACTGGTGTTAGTGAACAAAGTGATAGTAGTGGCCGGTTGTGCCATCACAAGCATATCGAACCGCTGTGTGTCTGGTCTGACCAACAGTGAGCCCTTACTGCTGGTGAACAGCGCCTGCAATGCGTTGCTATTGTTTAAAGTGATCGCCAGAGAGGCCAACCTCGAGATCATCCAAAGCTTCTCCATTAAGCATCAAAGCAAAGACCTTATGATTCGGAGTTCCTTTTGTCCGATTATCTCGAATCGAGAGGGCATTTGTGTGGTGACCGGCAGTGAAGACACGTGCGTCTACTTCTTCACTGTGGAGGACAACAAATACTGCAAAAGCAAATGTGTTAACAAACTTCAGGGACATTCGGCACCTGTTCTTGACGTGTGTTTTAATTATGACGAAAGTCTGTTGGCTTCCAGTGATAGCAAAGGGAATGTTATTATTTGGAAACGAGAATCACTTTAACGCAGACTTATTGTTATTATTTACAATTATGTATTGAATTGACAATCACTGTCAACACCAATTGTAAATACAGTATGATTTCCTCATTTTATATTTCTGTTAGAATTATATTACAAATAAAAGTGAATAAAAATTTATTCAATAACTGTGTGAATGTGTTTCAAGCATAGCTTTCATTATAATATTGAATGATTTTTAAGAGTATTCAAAATAATAGTCAAGTTTATTCAAATTTTGTATAGATATGATAGAAAAAGAATTCAAAAAAATTTTGGACAATATTTCATACAGTATAACTTATGCAAACAATTTAAGAATTGGTCTAGAACAACAATTTCCTCACAATTTGATAGTTTTTAAAATAGTTCCGGTCATTTTAAAAGTATTTCCAGAATTTTCGAATACAGAATTGAGATTCTAATTTATTAATTTAGAAATATATTTTAAAATGACTTACTATTAATAAGTTACTAGAAAATAGTCAGTGACTAGATTGAATCTAGTAGATTCTAAACTTTAGTGTAATGTTTGTATGAATACAACAATTGATTCATGTTTTAAATGATTAAACAAACAATTCAAAAATAGTACATAACTGGCAATCCTTTTGGAATAAGTTATAAGAAACAAATTGATTAGATTTAGTGATAATGTCAGACGTGTTCTTAGATCTGTTCAATACATACAAAATAAATATAATAATTCTGTCGATAATTCTGTTGCTGATGGCTATAGTGAACGCATTGATTCAGTTCCAGAAGTTGGGTGACGGAGACTATAACAAGAAACCCATATATGAGACCCACTTCTTCAACATCATTGAAGATATCATACAACTAGTCATCTGTTCGTTAGGCATATTTGCGGCCATTAGTGAAGACTTCCGAAGAGTTCTCTATTTCGGAATCTGTATCTCAGCCTTACTTTTGGTACAAATAGTTGTCTTATGTCTGCATTTCTCTTCGTCGTCACTCGTGACGGTGCTTATAGTCATAGGATTGGTAGCCATGGCTTGGCTTTACTTACATCAGATCGCTCTCAAGTTAAAGCTCCCCTCCGATGCCTCCGATGAAAGAAGTATTAAAACTGTCGCAATATTCTCTAAAAAAACATTCAAATTATCTTTTATTCTCTAACTTTTCAGTGTTTGTCAAAATAAGTCGGCAATCAAACAGTCCTCATTAGACTCACACCAATCAACTCTTCACACATTATAAGCAATTCAATATTAATTATCGAAAATTTTTCATTATTCCGACCAATAGTTTAATAATAACAACTTAATAATAAAAATTGATTTATAAGATAATTTGTCAAATGAGATTTATTTGAATGCAATTTTAAAATATAAGAATTTATTATGAAAATAGTTTCAAAATTATTTGTCAGTCTTTTTAGCTTTTTTAATGGAAGTCTTCTTGAGGTCTGACTCCCACTTCTTCCTAAACATGGTATACAATCTCATGGCAACCCTCGCGTCCTCCACCGAGTTATGCTCTCCCGTCTGCACTCTTACGCCTAAAACGGATTCCGAGAGCCGTTTGAGAGCCGGGTTTCGGCCGCCAAACAGTTTCTTAAAGTATCGACTCGTGTCTCGAGTCTTGTGTTTCGGATGACTCAACAGAAGGGCTTTGAAGTCATTGTGGAGGGCGTGGCCCACGACTGTCCTCTCCTTCAATATTTGGTGCACTTCTGTCTGAACGGTCTTAAAGTCCAGAGCATTGACTAAATCCTTAGGCCTAATACCACTCCATTCTGTCCTGTAATCTGTGATCTCTTCCAATGCTTTCACATACTTATCGTAAATACAGTGCCCGAAGAAGTTCACGATTGATACTCTGGCCAACACTGAGTTCGTGCCATCACTACCGGTGCCCACCATTTCGCAGTCCATTCCCACCACTTTCGTCAAACCACTAAAACTCTTTTGCTTCACAAGTCTTTCTTCATTTGTCTCACCGTTGGACGCGTTTGTGTCGGACATCGAGGACTTTATGAGACACTTGTCGACGCCGTCGAACCAAATCTTATTCTTGTCGTCCGATTTGCTTTCATTCACTTTCTTATCATTGAATCCCTTCTTCTTAACCACTTTTGGGTCAAATCTCTTCTTCTTGTTGTTGTTGTTATCCTTCTTCTCATTGAGTTCTTGTGACAAACGCTTCCAATTGGCGGACATTTCGTTCACTTCTTGAGGGTATTTACAAACAGTTGTCTTCACGTGTTTTGTTGGTCTCCTTCGCCTCTTGTGAACCACTTTCGCATCCTTTGACTCCTTTTCACTTACTTTTCGCTTATTTTTAGCCATATTTTCACCAAAAATAGTGTCAAACGAGAGGACAATACACTTTGAGAGCAATTATATCATTAAAATAATTAGCGTTTCATTTGTTGTCCGAAAATATGTCACAAAAATAGTCTCAAAGTTTGCGTAAATTATAGGTTAGAAGTGAGCGTCAGATGAGTGCCGAAGACAATAAAGTGTCCAAAAATAGCACTCAATTATGAAATCAATTGTATTTCACACTTAATTGAAGAGTCAATTAATTTTAAACATTAAAACTTCGTTTAAAATAAAAATGCTTTCAATTCATGCAAACAACACATGACATGACTCCAGAAAACAACAAATATTTTCCCATAAATTATGCGTCAAATTAAAAGTCCGACAAAAAATAGTTAGGTTTCTATGGCGACAGTGCGATAGCGTTCAAAAACCTTTAACTCTAAGCGTCGGCGCAGTTCGCAGTGAAACGAGATTTAAATTTTTGAAATACTTGTTGTCCGTTGACTTTGACTGCACTGTGACTCAACCCCTAACATACAGTCCATTACACGTTGGCTGAGGTGAGCCGTGCCGTTGACTTTGCGTGGGTTTGCACTCCAACTCCAGTGCTCGCCTCACAAACACTCGACAATAGGCTCAGAGTTCGCTCCACTCAGCCATTGGTCTGCTGTCTGTGAGTCACTCGAGGGTTGACTAAACGGACGATACGTTTAGTGTTGAAAATCTGCACAAAATTCAAAACGAGTTTAAAGAGTCAACAGTTTTACAGTACTTTACACTCCAGTCATCCACTCATACAATACAACAGACTTTTAAACTACTGTTTTAACGACCATTTCATTCAAATCACTGTCCATTTGATCCATTCATTTGTGCCAATTGTCTTCAGTTGTCTTGAGTTGTCCACTCAATTGTCTCCGTTTAAGAGTTTTTGTACAAATAGCGGTGAGATATCTGCAGAGATAGGGAACGTCTAACACGAAGACATGTCTCGCCGTAACGACCACTTGAAGCTCGAGATCCCGGATCTGGTGAGCGATCCGAAGACCAAGAAGACGTACCGGAAGGGAAAGTTCTTGGGACGGGTATGTCTTGCCATTGATTGTGATTACAGTTACCGGTGTATGCATTGTCTCGCATTCACTCACTATGTCTTTGTGTGTCCACTGATCTGAAGGGAGGGTTTGCCAAATGCTATGAACTCATAGACACATCCAATGGTGACATCTTTGCCGGCAAAGTGATCGCGAAGTCACAGCTCACTAAACCTGACCAGAAGAGTAAGGTATGTATCGATGCCATCGCTTACGGTATTCTTGCGATAAGATATGCTATGATTGCTATCAATGCTATCATTGATAACCGTTTGACACCATTAGATGACTCAAGAGATCGCAATCCACCGCTCGATTAAACACAATCATGTGGTGGAGTTCATGACATTCTTCGAGGACAAGGA